GCTGTGGCTCAGAGGCAGAGCAGGTCGTCCCCCAATCGGAAGGTTGTTGGTTCGATCCCCGGCTCCTCCTGCCACGTGTCGAAGTATCCTTGAGCAAGATACTGAACCTCCCGATGGCACCAGCAATTGGTGTGTCAACTGTGTATGAATGAGTTAGTTTCTGTTCGATGGCTTCACTGAGTGACTGAGTGTGTGAAAGGGTGAATGTGGCACGTAGTGTAAAAGCGCTTGAGTGGTCGGAAGAACTAGAAAGGCGCTATACAAGTACCAGGTCCTCTTACCAGGTAACAAGGTTCCCAGAGTGCCTTAAGGTACCACTTTTGCAAAAGCCTGGTACACCACACGCCATCGGCACGCCCTAAACAGGAGTAGAATTACCCCCAGGCTCTATTGATTCAAGTTGAAACTAAACTGCACGGAATCGCATGTAGTTCCTTGAAAGGTATCAAAAAAGGCAAGGTGGAGGCACCGAAAAGAATATATCTAGTACTAAAAAATAAAATAAAGGAATTTACCGTACTATTAATAGTTTTTTTTAAGGAAAGGATGGTTTATCTATCACCGTACTACATGCCTTTATATTCTGGTAACGCTCGACAGCACGGACATTAGGCTAATACTCTCCGCTCACACATATAAACCAGGCATACAGTCAGTGGATAACTTGGGTTATGTGTTTTGTTAAGGAAACATTATTCATCCAGGCCAACCACAAAACTAACAAGCTTTTGTCTCTGCGCCTCTCCCAGCCTCTGCATGCCTCATCTGTTCATGTCGGCCAAGGAAAGAAAGATGATCAGCCCATGTGACCATCTGATTTCATTCCCCAGCAATGCTTGCAACACACACACACCAAACACAGAGACAGGCAGAGAGAAGAGAAGAGAGAGAAGAGAGAGAGAACCGCAAACGATCAATTTTGTGCCTCTGTTTTGGCTCTTGAGAGAACTGGCTCACGAGACGACGGCGCACCTGTTGCATGAAACCTCTGCTAACGATGTAAATCATCTTCTCGCAAACAGGTATGGCTGTTCTCATGAAGCGGAACGAACTCCAATGTCCTCTTCACTGTTTTTTATTGCATGCCTGCCTCTATAATTTTCTCTTCACCAAAAGTGGAAATTTGAACGCCATCGTCCCTCATCCCCTTTGATTGCTAAAGACAATCAAAGTATTTACACATTTTATTTAAGCATTCAGAGAATTCTGAATTTCTCTTGAAACATTCTGAGACGTAAAATAAATCCTAGATTCTAACTTTTCAATAGTGTTTCAAGTTTGTCACATACTCAACTGAGGGTGTGGGTTTCATAATTTGTTTCCCTCAAACAAGGACGATTGTCCATCTTCAAAACACAAGACCCGTTTGGAACCAAAAAGTTATAAACTTAAATCTCTAAAACAGTCTCTCTTCTCTCTCCTCTCCCTCAAACTCCCAATGCAAGGCAGAAGACCTGTAGAAGCCCGGCGGTATGTCCGGGGTTCTGCCTTCTTTAAAAGGAAGTTTTTAATAAGCATGCGAGTGGCATCTCTGGCGCGTGACCAAGCTGCGCCTGGCATCCAACGGTGGATCTCAGTGAGTGAAACGTCGCTGCGCCATGAGATTAGGAGCGGACCACACTACGGACACACTGCCAATTCCTGTCTCCACTTGTAACATTAATGGTACCCAAATGAACAACAACAAAAAGAACGTCAGTGTTGGAGGAAAGTAAATGGTCCTTAAAGAATCCCCCCAGACATCTATCTAAAACATAAATTAATCTACTCTAACTAGATACTGTTCTTTACCCCAAAAGAATAATAGATTTCCCACCATAAAATCCTTAAAAAGTCTACTTCTACTTCTTCTCACCCTCATTAGATATTCCCAGAATCTATGACAATTTTAAATTTGGGTTAATTTCTAAAGTTCTTCCAGCTGGTCACAAGAATGTCTCCCTCACTTCAACTGTTAATGTCCCATTCTCAAGTGCGATGGGTGGCACTGGTGGCTTTTCAAGGGTTTTCACCATCACACTGTACACCAGTTGCAACTGGGACCAGGACTTCCAAAATTATTTGTGAATGTTCAACTAATCCGTGGCTGGTAGGCCACCACCCCTTAAATCAGATTTCAGTGAAGCCAGAGAAACTTTCCACTTTCAGCAGATGAATGTGAAAACATCCTTCTAGTGTCAAACTCTGCACATACATCATTCTGCACAGTGAAGATCAAACATCACACTGTAGGAACAAGAAGAAATACTGAGCTTTGACTGGAAGGGGATTTAAAACAGGAAGCAGGAACACATGCTCATATGTTCCATTCAAGTTGGTACGTATACTTATCATGTTGATTAGTTTTTTTTTGTTTTTGTTTTTTATTTTAAGTTTCACAATTGATTTTTTTACTGCACTCACTGAGTGAACAGAAAGAACATTTTGAAAGAGAACGATTATAAAAAATGCATCGTGAAAGAGATGAGACAGAATCTAAGAATCCAAAGGGGGCATTTCCCCATGTGCAATATGGTGCCTTTAGATGGGTTGGTGTTTACTGTGTTCATGAGAAGAGTCCATGTGATTGAGTCAATGTTGACTACATCATGGGTTGAAATGTTATAATAGCTTTGTGCTTGCCAGTTGCCCCAACGTCTTTAATGATGGAGCCCTCTGATGTTGGTCTGCTCTGTCGTCAACTCTTTCTTGTTCCTCAGCTTGATGTTGAAATACACAAAGATCAAATCATCCGCTGTTTTTCAAAATAGATCAAGACAGTAGCCATTTTTGTCTGTTGCCTAGCAACAGTTTCCCACAAATTAAACCACTCAAATGGCAAGCTTGTTGTCTAGTTGACTGTTCATGTCAAAAAACAAAACAAAATTAGATTTCAAATTGGTTGAATTATTTTTCAGTAACTGCACAGCCAAGAATGGATTCTTACACTTATGTCACAGCCACAGGGGCATACTAAAATAAAGCAGCCTGGGAATTTTCTGTTGAGATGCCCCAGTTTGACACAGTAAATTTGAACTGACACACGTTTGTCCATCAACGAGGCTAATATATAAAATAATACATATGTGGTGAATAATGCAACCATACTTCATTCTACCGTTCATTCTATTTATTGTAATGCAACAATAAATAACTTGGATGAAGTGATCCATCCTATAAGTAATGTATTGTGCTCTTATTTACTGCACAGTCACACAAAACATTCAGTAGTGAATATCTAATTGGATCTGTGCTGGTTCCTGCTCCATCCACCTCCTCCATCCTTTTCCTTTTTTGTTCATGGTCACCTGTAGAGTATTTAATAATTTCAAATGTATTTTTTGAGATAGATGAAAATCATTCAATCTTACATGATTTTATCCATTTACAATTGAAGTTGATGACCTGACAATTTTTTATACAAAGATAAAAAGAGGAAAGAGATCCAACTATACATCAATAGAATGATACTTTCAGTTTCCGTTGTGATGACAACTGGTACCGGTGGCTGTGGCTCAGATGTAGAGCGGGTTGTCCACTAATCAGAAGGTTTGCTGCATGTCAAAGTATCCTTGAGCAAAATACTGTGCATCGGTGTTTGAATGTGTATTAGTTTACATTCTGATGAGCAGTTGCCACCTTGCATGGCAGCCACTGCCAACAATGTATGAATGTGTGTGGATAGGTGAGTGTGGCATGTAGTGTACAGCGCTTTGTGTGGTCAAAAGCATAGAAAGGCGCTATATAAGTAGAGTCCATTTACCATTTACCAGCTTTTATGAGTTGTGTTGCTGCAGCTAAGATGACCTATTGAATATCTGTATATAGGCTATACAATGCTGGGGTTGGGAAACAAAATTCCTGCACTTACCAATGTCCAGTTCTCCTGTCATAGCTGCAGAGGTGCACATACATTATGCAAGGTGAAGCAGAGAGAATGTAGTATAAAGGAAGCACAATGGAAATGTCTTAAACTAACATTCTTTCGAATAGCAAGCAGAAGGCAGCTTCATGGGCTGGAAAAGAGTAATATGTAGAAATGAGCCTATTTTCTCACTTGATTTATTAGCTCAGTAAACAGTTTCCTAATGACTGTATAGTCTCAATGTCTAGTTTCAAGTCTTCTTTCATACAGCATGATGTTCATTGTAAAATAGGTGATAAAGCAGGGTATGCTTTAGGGCGTGATGTGATTGACAAGTCATTCTCAATCAGTCCATTCATGATTCATGTTTGATCAGCACTGCCTAGTCAAACATGAATCACGATTATGTTACTGCATTGTCAATTTCTCGCCTCAAATCTTTCCAGAAACATAGTGTGTTGTTTTTACTGTTATATGAGCACATGTGTGACCAGGCAGGGCAAGCTCAACTCCTAGTATGTCACTGCTGCTGGCTGCAAAAAAACAATATAGTGACGACCATAACGCCAAAGGCTTCAAAACAGTACTCCACAAGCCAATGGGTGACATCACAATAGTGATACACTGGGCATGAAGCAGAAAGACTCACTATAATGTATAAGAGGTTTTACATCAGCCATAATGTAAAACCTTTGTGAGCACTGACAGGTGAAGTGAATAATACGGATTATCTTGTTATCATGGCAGTGGGTAGAATATATTAGGCAGCAAGTGAACATTTGTGCTCAAAGTTGATGTGTTCAGCAGAGCCACATTGTGATGGCTAGACAACAGGGTCAGATCATCTCCAAAACTGCAGCTCTTGTGGAGTGTTCCCGGTCTGCAGTGGTCAGTACCTATCAAAAGTGGTGCAAGGGAAGCTGCCCATGTGGTCCGATCCAACAGACAAGCTACTGTAGTTCAAATTGCTGGAAAAGTTAATGCTGGTTCTGATAGAAAGGTGACAGAACACAGTTTGCATCTGTTTGTTGCGTATGGGGCTGCATAACATTAGGACCACCAGGGTGCTCAGATGGTCAGAATGTTATGGCTGATCGGTGTAAAAGGTGAGTAAACTCTGTCTTCAGCACAAAATTCCTTAACAAAACTTGTTCAGATGTGTTGGTGTGCCCTCTGAGACCAGTGGAGCGTTTTCGGGATCTTCGGCCAGATGAGGTGGCAGATTTATTCAGCACCACTCAGAGAGTCGCCAACCTCGTGGAGAAGCACTTCAATGCCACCTCGCTCACCATTGCCATCCAGGTAAAACCCAGACTTAGTGTAGCCTCATCTCTGAAATGTGTGATATTACAAGTAATGTAACTCAGAAAACAGTAGTGTAAATATCATAGAGGAGGACAGATGTAACAAGATCTGTCATACTGTGTGAAAAACAATGTGTTGCAGTAACACCAACCCATGTAGCTACATTATTATTATTTATAATATTCCCTTATTATACTCAAACTAACTTTAAATAATTGTTAATTGATACAGATATTGACTGCCTAATATAGCCCACCCACTGACAGGTGCCATGATAACCAGAGAATCAGTGTTACTCACTTTACCTGTCAGTGGTCAGTTATGGCTGATCGGTGTATACTGTATTAAAGGACCAGTGTGTAGGTTTTAGTGGCATCAAGCGGTGAAGTTTCAGATCGCAACCAACTGAACACAGGCAGTTGTATTTGAAGACCTGGGCATGAGAACATGAAGTGTGTAAGAAAAAAGACGGTAGCTGCGAAACTCACAAATAATGGCCCTATCTCAGCCCATTCTGAGCTACTGTAAAAAAAACAAAAATGGTGGTTCGACATGATGGACTCCATGGAAAGTGAACCACAGCATCTGTAAATAAAAACGTCTCACTCTAAAGTAACAAAAGTGTGATGGGCTGCTATGTAGCAGCACTTGAATTGGTGACCCTCCAGTTCCCAAGCCAAGTCCCTACTCACTACTGCAGACAATATTTATTTGCCAAAAGTTTAAATAAAATAAAATAATCAATTAAAAAGTTCAGAATTATGTTAACCTGACAAAACAATTTACAGAAGTGTGCATAATAGTGTTCGTCACGTCGTGCACACAGGCCCCAAAAGACATTTTCCCATAAGCTTATATTGTGAAAAAAGTAGCTGTAAAATGGTGGATACATTTTTTTTAATTATCACAACTGCCACAAAATGACTCGTTTCACTATCAGAATTTGATCCATTTGGTCCAATAACATTTGGAAAGTCTAGAAGAGCCGCATTACTAAATAATTGTATCCCCATGAATGGAGATCAGGCTCTAATACTCTATCCAGTTCTCCCTTAATAATCCTTGGTTGGTAACAACCAATGCAATTAACAAAATGTCAAGATGAACATCTTATTCAAATAACTTTTTTTTCTCTGCCTTTTTTAAATCAAAATGAACTGTATTGCTCCAATAAATTGGTTTTAATGTTATACTCTATTTGTTTACATATTTATTTGTCAAAACTGAAATATTTTTAGACTGGCCTACACTTATTTGAAGACAATAAGATTTTTAGAATTCAATAAAAGACCAAATGACTTGAAAAAAGCTCTTGGCTCAGCAGCAGAGCAGAATGAGGCCTGTTGGTGTTTTCAGTATGGATCAGCTCTGCTGTCGTATGATGGAAGCTAAATACAGAGCTGACTCTGACACCCAGACAGGCTCGTCTCAGACTGAATGGCCTATTCTGCATAACTGGTGATATATATGCTAATATCAAAATAGCACCTAGCTCACTCTGCAGCCCTGTCAGAGAAAATTGTTTCACAGGTTAGGAGAAAGGAGAGAAAAAAAACAAAGCAGCAAAGAGTAATCTTTACCTGGATATCATTTTCTTTGACTGGGGAGGTGATGAGAAGTGATGATAGGAGATTAGTTGTGACAGCTCCCGGGTTACAGCCAACACATTAAAGTAGAACTCTCTGCAGGAGGGGGCGACTGCCACTTCTGTGACAAATAATATCACACAAATCAAGCTCACTGGAGGATTGGTGGTGAAAAAAAGATTTTTGGATGGTGACACAAACACTCTCTGTTTCCTCCATCAGTGCTGAAGAATAACGGTGGACTTCATCAGAGTTTATTGATTTCTTTGTTTACTCGCCATTCTGATTTCTGGTGTGTATGAGAGCCATGCAAATTCCAGTTATCACCTTATTCTAACAAATAGCAATGTATAATGTCAATACATGTAATCACACCTGAAATGACTGAGAAGAAGACAATTGTTGAAGCGTTGCATTGTCAGCAGGTGAAGAAGTAGTTCTGTTTCTGAGCAGGCCAGTCTCAGTATAACATTAAAAAAGTCAAAATATGTAGATTTTCTACCGTTTTACTGATAATTCTCCAAATCTAAAGACAGTCTTGTTTTTTCAGCTTTCTTGATTTGCTTAAAATTTTAAAAAATGTTGAGATAGACCCTTCCTTATGTCTACTAAAGATACAATGTGTAATTTTCAGAAAATTCTTGATATTATAGACACAGGTGGCTGTTAAGCAAACTGTCAGAATCCTGTTGCTCATGCACATGCTCGCACTCCATTGGCCAGTTTTAGGACAACCATCTTGACTCTGTGAACATGCTGAGTTCAGGCAGGAGCAAAAGTATAAAGCGACATTCATGCTACCTGCTAACCAAGGTGAATAGTGATTTCTGGGCTGCTGAGATAATGCCTCTGTTTGTTATTATGATTTTGATATCAGCCATATCAACATGTATGATAAAATATAAGACCTAAGTTGTTGCCACATGGACATAATAAGGTGATAGTCATATATCAACTTAATTTTTCTCATGAGTACTACAACCAGGATAATCTGCTGGGAAATCTAAGCTTGGTGTGTATAAGAAGTTTATTTATCTGCATTTGTGGGGTACAGCCTTCGTCATCAGCCATAGTAAAGTTTAATTTTATTATTTGAAGGTTTTACTGAAGTGTATAAAAACATAATTTGTCATCTTGTCTCTCCAATTGAAGAAAAATTGGTCATGAAGAAATAAATGTCAGGAAATAGGAGGCAATGAAACAAACCAGAAGGAATATCTCTTTTTTTCTTTTTTTATTGGAGGAAAGAAGTGAGGTATTGTAGCTCATCTGAAATTAAAATATATCTCTGAATCATTAATGTAAATATTTCTGAATTCCCAACTCTTTTCTAATTACCTCTTTCTGTTCCCACCAGGATGGCCCTGAAGCTGGACAAACCGTGAAGGTGAGAACTTAATAATTCACTGCCTTTAAATATGTCATGAGACCTCCGCAACAGTTATACACTATTAAATAATCATTGCATTTGCAGTTCTAATCTCTTGGCATGGCTGAATAATTTAGAGATCTTTTCTATAAAGGTTTAAATCATTTTTGGTTTGGTTAGAGGCTGAATGGAATGATTCAAGTGGCTGCCTGGGGACTCACTGAGGACCATATAGGTTGAAGTATGAGGGACAGAATCGTTAGCAGTCACTGAACCCTACATACATACCTATTCTGTTATTTTTGGTACCAGATCGATTACATTACATTGCATTCATTTTAAAGACACTTCACAGTAAATATATATGAAGGACTTAAATCGCCAAAATCAAAAACAAATAAATTACCTAATTAATGAATATAGGCCATTAAATGCACCAAAAATAATATTAGATATAAATATAGGAATTAATTTATTTTGAAATGTGACATAAATTTATATTTGTTTTACCTTTGTAATAATTCCCTATTTACTTTCCCATTTAATTTTCCTTTTTCCTTGTTAATTTTTTTTATATTTATTTAGTCATTTACTTGTTCATGTATGATTTTCCCTTTGTTAGAAACAGTATCTATTGTGTATATGTGGTGAGTGGGCGTGTCCGTGGCGTGGCGTCAAATTTTGATGTACTGCCACACAGATTTGCTATACTTGACTGACATTTGAGCTCAAACTTCACTTGCTCGTGTAAATGGTAACATGGACCTGTACTTGCTATAGCGCCTTTCTAGTCTTCTCCATCAAAGCGCTTTTAACGACTACGTGTTACATTCTCCCTTTTCACACACATTCACACAACGATGGCCGCAAAGCTCCATCGAATAGAAACTAACTCATTAATCACACAGTTCAAGCAACGATGCTATGCATCGGGAGCAGACTTTGGGGGTCAGCTATCTTGTCAGGAACTTCGACAATGGGAGCCGGGGATCGAACCAACCACGTTTCTGATGTGGGGACGACCCGCTGCGTGCCTCTGAAGCACAGCCGCCCCTTGTCTGATAAGAGTGCCGCCTGAATACATCTATGTGATAATACTTTCAGATGTAGTGGTAGTGCACCTCCTGGCAACAGGAAAGTAATGAATGGGGCAATTTTGTCTGATTTATGTAAAGAGTTCATGTTGTGGTCCACGCGTTTTACAACGGCACATGATGCGGCGCAGCACACCCCCTGAGTTGCGTGGAGTGCGAGGCCGTATCGCTGTTGCAGCTTTAATTTCATTCATTTATGCATTCTCCAATTGTCAATTGTGCTTTATTACAAGCCAAATAGAAAGGAATTCATTATTTTGTAATTAACCATGTGCGTCATACGTTACGTCTAGATCTGGCGCCTTTTCCTCCTATATTATCGGCTGCTATATGGCTACTAGTCTTGAGTCTCCCTAGCTAGGCTCATATGAGATAAGTACCAACTCCAAACAACAGAAATCAGGTGTGGCCAGAAATAGTCATGTATAAAGCACAATACGTTTGCAGTTCCAGAAGATTTTTTTTCTCCTTTTGGGCCAATCTCTCCTTTCTTTGCTCTTTTGTAGTAAATGTTGAGGATCCCTGTTTTCTGATGTTTCTAGCACAGAGGCTGTTGAAGTCTGTGATGGAAGGCAAAAGCTAACAACTTATGGATCTCACCTGGACGACTTATATCGTATTGGTAAAAGGACTGCCAGTTTTTGTTATAAGCGAGGCTTTCTAGGTTCTCCGGACACTCCAAAGCATTTTACAATACATTGGCCACATTCGCCCCTTTCAACACACACTTCACTCAGCGATGGCAGAAAGGCCATCAACACGGAAACTGAACCCATCTAACACATTCACACACGATGAACAGCGAATCGGAGCATTTGGGGTTCAGTATCTTGGCTTAAGGATACTTCAAATGTAGTGAGGAGCCAGGAATAGAACCACAACAACCTTCTGATTAGTGGACGACCCGCTTCTGCCTCCTGAGCCACAGCCCGCCAAACTTGGTGTTGGACAGGTTGGTTTCCCCACCAAAAGTGGCATAACCAGATCCTTCAGCCTTAGTACATGAAGCAAAATCCAACTGTCGAGCAAATGTTTCTAGCCTCCTAACCTCCCTCCTCTAAAAAAAAAGCAATCTTCGGGCTGTGTGCCGCTAAGAGACAATGATTTTTAAAAGATGCTTTATTTTTCATTTCCACCAACAACATCAATTTTTCATCTGCAGATTCTTTGAGAAACATGGCTTTCATCTGGCAATCAAACAAGGTCAAAGAGTATGCATTTTGGCTTGAGTTCCAGTTGATTCCGACCAGCAGGTACTTTATACTGTTAGCGAATATCGCAGCTCTGAAATATTCTTGCATACCTTTTGTTGAGGGCTTTTCTGAGGAAAGCACATCAGGGGAGTAGTGAATCAAGGGGTAATAGAGGACTGTTGTTTACACTGATTCCATAACTACTGAAAAACCCCATATTTTATCAAGTAATTTTAATACTAAAGCAACTCTTGATGTCAGACCTGTCTGGTCTTTTTATAAAACAGATTATCTGTAAAGCGCATTAGCACACCTGCTACAGTAGCAGCCCACGCCCATCTATCAACTGGGTTTATATTGCAATCAGGTGCCTGCACGACAGCAATAAAAATGGTCCTTTGATGAAAAGAGTGAGGCAGGCTATAGAGAGAGGCAAATCACTCTTAATAAATCACTGCCTGGAGTCGCAGAAGACACAAGACAATCTATGTGTTTTGAATGATGGAATGGATTTTATTTTTTCTATGGAAAATTCAGGGGATATAAAGTGATTTATGCATTGTGGAGTGGCTATGTACTAGATCCTGCTTGTTTACTAAGCAAGCGGGTGCTATATAAAGCTTTTATTGATAAAGAGATGATACTGCTAATCTTGCACAAAGTAGAAAATATTGAATAACACCCACAGGAATGTATTTCCATAGCACTGAATATGGAGTGAAGCAAGAGGCGAGTAAGTGACACAAAGGAGATATGATGACTTTTGAATTGAAAAAAGTCTTGAGATATTCTGCATCTATCAATGGATTAGCAGTGGTGTTAAAACTGGCTCATGGAACTTGTTTGCATTTATTGTCAGGTACATTGGTGTCTTAAGCCGTATAGTGAAATTTTAAACCCCTACCCGGCTCTGCAATCTTCCTGTGGAGAAGTCAATGTTTGCTGTCCCAGTCCAGCCTTGTCGTCAGCTGCAACCTCCAGATATTTATAAGATTTCTCCTCAATCCC